TTAATTTTTTTTTTTTTGCCGTAGCAGCAGCACTTAAAAATATTTATGGCATAATTGCTGTTTCCCCTTCTGCGTTGCAGGTGTTCCTTCTTCTGCGTCAGCAGTGGTTTCTTTTTTTCTATTATTTCATTAAATTGTTTTTATTTTTTTTTGCCACGGCACCAGCAGCAAAAATATTTTGGACATAATTGCTGTTTCCCCTTCTGCATTACCGGTGTTCCTCCTTCAGCATCAGCAATGATTCCCTTTTTCTTTTCTTTTCTGGGCTTTCTGAATTTTTTTTCCAGCAGCAGCAAAAAAATACTCCGTAATTGCTTTTTCTCCTTCTGAGTCGCAGGTGTTCCCTCTTCTGCATCGCAGGTGTTCCTCTTTCTGTGTCAGCAGTGGTTCCCTCTTTTTTTTGGCTTAATTATTTTACATTATTTTATTTACATTTTTTGCAGCATTAAAAAAAAAATGTCCATAATTACTGTACCCCCCCCCCCCCCCCCCCATTTCTTTATTTAAAAAAAAAAAATTAATAAAACAGTTTATAGTGCGCCAAGCACAAAAGTATTGCACCCAAGCACCAAATTCCCATCCCACACTCTGAAATAAAAAGTTATAAAAATCCCCCCAAAAAATCCCTATCATGTTCCAAAGGCCAGCAAGGTGAGGCAGATGCTCACAGGCAGCTAAAAGAGGGCAAGAAGCCTCTGTGTCCACAGTGAGAAGTTGTGGTTGTGGACATAGTGTGTATCATCTACAGGCAGGGCACACTTGTCCTTTTTTTTCCTTTGCTGGTCATGCTATTAAGCCACAACATACAGAAGAGGTGGTGGAATGGATAACTAAGCCATCCTCATCCTCCTCATCCTCTGTCATCCAGGCTCATACTTGTTTGCCTTCCACCGTGGCTGCCAAAGCGGCCAATTCCATATACTCCTTGTCCACAGCTACTCCTTTTGTAGCCCCACCATCATGGATGGAGGAGTCACCTGAATTATTCAGTCATAGTGCAAGCTACATGCTGATGGAGGATGCGCAGTAGTTTGAATGCTCCGATGCTGGTTCTCAGGTTGAGGAAGGGAGTGACGTGAGCCTAGAGAGAGGGGGTGCCAATGACGGACAAGAAACTGTCAGCCATGTTCCCCCAGACCACAGCATACAGCCAAGTTGGCTCCAGTGATGAGGAGGGAGGGGATGATGAGGCCACTGGCTGTACTTGGGTGCCTGAGAGAACAGAGGAGGAAAGTGAAGAGGAGGCACAACTCCAACAAGGCAGGATGCCCTCCAGGGGCAGGAGTAAGGGCAGCCACCCTATTGTATCAGCAACCACAGGTGCAGGGCGCTACTGACTCCCTGCTGACTTCCAAAAGTTCATTGGTGTGGGCTTTTTTTAACAAATGTGAAGCAGACTGCAGCATTGCTGTTTATAATCTCTGTCTGAAGCGGATCAAGTGTAGCCAAAACACCAGCTGCTTGGGCACTACATGCTTGACAAGACATATGATGACCTGCCATGCAGCCCATTGACAACAGCACCTGAAAGACCCACATCATAAAAAAGTGCAGACTTCTTGCTCCTCATCTGGGATCTCTACCCCTACTATACCTCAAGTCATCTCAACAGCCTCCACTGAGAGATGATGGTATAGCAATGGGTGCCTCAGATCCATGCACCCAATCTGCTAGCATTACACCTGTTGATTTCACCAGGAACATTTCGCTACCTCTGTTGCTGAACCATAGAAAAACAAATTACCATCCCACCCATCCACATGCTCATCGTCTTAATACTAGCTTGGCCAAATAGCTAGCGTTACAACTGCTGCCTTTCCATCTGGTGGATTCTGCCCCCTTCCGTGAATTTGCGGGATGTGCTATACCAAGGTGGCAGGTTCTGAAAATAAATGTATTTTCATGTAAAGCCATTGCAGCTCTGTACCATCATTTGATAATGTTTTGGCCTCGTTGGACAGGGCAGTCAGCAGCAAGGTCCACATTACTGCTGACATGTGGTCCAGAAGGAATGGTCAGGGATGTTACATTTCCTTCACGGACACTGGATAACTCTGCTGGCAATTAGGAAGGATGCAGGACAGGGTTCAGTGCTGGAGCTTCTTCCACCACCACGCCTCCAAAAAGCTGGTGGTGATTCTGCCACATCTGTCTGCTCCACCCCCTCTCCTCTTCCTCTATGGCCTCTTCTGCTAAATTGTCCTCTGAACTAGCAGTGCTCCCTAAGCGATCAAGGGGGTAGGCAAACAGTCATTCTAAAAGATTCCATGCGGTGCTTGAGCTGGTCTGTGTAGGGGACAGGAGCCACACTGGGGCAGAGATTCTGTCAGCTCTGCAGGGGCAGGCTCAGAAGTGGTTGATGCCACGGCAGCTTGAGCCAGAAATTCTTGCATGTGACAATGTTACCAACCTTCTCTCTGTCCTCTGACAGGGAGACTTCGACACATCTTCCATGCTTGGCACACGTCCTGAATTTGGTGATGCAGCATTTCTTGAACAGGTACCCAGGCTTACAAGATCTCCTGAGGCAGGCCAAAAAATTCTGTGGCCACACGTTCCAGCGGTCATACATGACCAGTGTTTGGCTGGCTGACATTAAACATGAATTCAACCTGCCCACCAACCGCCTCATTTACAACATGCCCACCAGGTGGAACAGGTGAAAATCAACATTGGCAATGCTGCAGTGGCTGCACACAAAGCAGAGGACAATCATTGAGTACCTGTGTGAGTATGGCACAAGGAACAGGTTTAGGGGAGCTTGGCTTCTTTTTGCCATGCCAGCAGCTGCTGATAAAGGATTCATGCACTGTCCTGTCACCATTTGAGAAGGCCACAAATGGTCAGCAGTGACAATGCATGCATTGTTTGACAGGTGCATGTAATTTTTTTTTTTTAATTTGTTTCTAATTTTTAACAGTAGGGCCCATTCCTGCGCCCAGCAAGAATAACTGTGAGGGATTGCAGTGCTCATGCACCACCAACACCCAATGCCCAATTTTTCCGCACCTGTATGACAGGTGCATATATTTTGGAATTTTCAGAGCAGGGTCCAATCCTGCACTCGTCAAGAATAACTCTGATGGTTTACGGTGTTAAGGCTGCCTGCCAAACATCCCACAATGCACTGCGCTCTCACAATGCACAGTCCCCATCCCACACTACAGACAGAGCAGGAAATACTCTCCACTCAAAAAATAAACAAATATATATTATTTAAAAAAAAAAACAATAAAAATAAATAAAAAAAGACATTAAAGAGAAAAAAACATGTGCCCCCCCCCCCATCCATACCAGGTCCCTTAGGTCTGGAGTAATTTTTTTTTTTTTTTAAAGTGTGTGGGGTTCCCTCTAAAAGGCATACCAGGCCCTTTAGGCCTTGTAAAACTTAAGAGGAACCCCACCCCCCAAAAATGGGGGGGAAGCATGGGGTCCCCCCTAGATTCCTAACACACCCTTGATCTGAGTACAGGGCTGACAGGCTAGGAAATGGTTGGGACCAATCGAGCGCCCCCTTCCCCTGCGGCTTACCAGGCCACATGCCTGACATGGGTCATTTACGGGTAAGATGCAAACAATTAGGCGGTGCTAGCAGTGATATCACCGCTAGCTCCACCCAATTGTTGGTGACAGTTCTAACAGTTGTCGGTCAGATGTAAGCAATTGGTCAGAGCTAGCGGTAAGCGCTCGGTAGCTTGACGGGTTGGTGAGTGTAGGGGTTTCAGGGAGTCGGCGAGACACCATGATTGACAATGGATTAAAAACAATGGAAGCAATTTTTTCTTTTTTTTTTTTTTTTTAATAAAGGACTTGCCAAAAACTGTTATTTTCTTTTTTGTTCAATAAATGAATTTTTCAAGAGTCTGGCATGTTTATTTTTTCTCAATGTAACCCTATAGTGAATGGGTAGGGGTACAAGTACCCCTTACTCATTCACAAGAGGGGGACAGCATCAGTTGCCCTCTTATTTAAAGGGGTACCCTGATGCTCATGAGCCCCCCTGCCCGCAGACCCCACAACCACTGTGCAAGGGTTGTGGGGAAGAGGTCCTTGTAAGCCGCAGGGAGGGGGGCTGCTCGATCGATTCCCCTCTTTCCTGGCCTGCCAGGTCTGTGCTTGGATCAAGGGAATTTAGGGGGGCCCAACACTTTTAGGCACATACACCCCCCCCCCCCCCCATTTTTGGGAGGTGGAGTTCACTTTATAAGTCCTGCCAGGCCTAAGGGGCCTGGCATGGCTTTTAGGGGAAACCCCACACATTTAAATAAAAAAGTTTTTACTAACTTTCCAACCAGACCTAAAGGGGTTTATTTACTAAAGCTGGAGAGTCCAAAATCAGACTCCCTTCTGCATAGAAACCAATCAGCTTCTAACCTCAGCTTGTTCAATGAAGCTTTGGCAATGAAACCTGGAAGCTGATTGGTTTCTATGCAGAAGGGAGTCTGATTTTGGACTCTCCAGCTTTAGTAAATAAACCCCAAAGAGTCTGGTATGGATAAGTGGGGGTGCCCCAGGCTGTTTTTTATTATTATTATAAAAATGTAATTTAAAAAAAAAAGGTCAGTCCTGCTGCAGCAGGTTCTATATATTGTATAAATTTGCAGCTTTGCAGGTAGATTAAGGGGACCCCCCAGGCATGATATTTAAAGGAATTTTTTTTTTTTTTTTTTTTGGTAAGCAATGAAAAATTACTACCCCTTTAAAAATGGTACTTGTTGAAATGTTTTTTTTTTTTTTCACTGAATTATGTCCCTTAAAGGCAGTACCTGAGTCCTCATACCCTATTTTATGGCCAATAACTTCAATAACTTGGATATAAGCCTTCAAAATGGGCACTTTTGAACTTACAAGTTCAAGTCCCATAGACTTGTATTGAGTTCGAAGTTCGCAGTCGAATTTTCGTTAGGCTCGAATATTCAACCACAAACCAAACAGGGGGGTGTTCAGTCCATCACTACTGCTCTGCCACACAAGAAGTTTGGAGGTCATTAGCTATTGACTGCAGACAGTTGGTGACTTCTGCACACTGTGTGCTTCAGTATACACTGACCCCGCTCTGTAATTTTTTGTGGCTACCACTTCGTAGCTGAGTTGCTGTTGTTCCCAGTTGCTTCCACTTTGTTATAATACCACTAACAGTTGACCATGGAATATTTAGTAGCAAGGAAATTTCATGGATGGTCTTATTGCACAGGTGGCAACCTATCATGGTACTACACTTGAATCCACTGAGCTCGTGAAAGCGACCCATTCTTTCTCAAATGTTTTTTAGAAGTAGTCTGCATGTCTAGGTGCTTGATTTTATACACCTGTGGCCATGGAGGTAATTGGAACACCTGAATCCAATGATTTGGAGGGGTGTCCCAATACTTTTGGCAACATAGCGTGTGTGTGTGTATATATATATATATATATATATATACACATACATACATACATATATACATATACACACACACACATACATACACATAATTTTTTTTTTTTTTTAAATGTTTGTATTATTCATTCATATCAGTCATGTAAAGTGAATTGTTCCCATCTGTTTTATGCATTGGATTGCTTCTTAAAGGGAAACTATTTTTTTATTGTTCTTTTTAACCGCATGCCGCCCAGCCACTGTACATATACGGTGGCAGGGCGGCACTCACAGGCAAAACCACGTTTTAAGACGTGTGTTTTGTAAACAAATAGGGGGCGCGCGCGAGGCGCGCCGCCGCCCTATTTGTCCCGCGGATCACCGCCACAGATGTCAGTCGCCGGGTCACAGCCGCTCCTTAGTGGCTATGTCCCGGCGATCAGCGGCAAACAGTGACAGAGAGCACAGCTGCAGTAGCTGTGCTGTCTGTCACTTCCTTCTCAGCTCCAGGACGAGCTGATCGAGAAAGAACAGTTTCTCTTTCTCGATCAGCCTTGTCCCGCCCAGTACACACCCCCCCCCCCTAGTAAAACACTCCCCTCACTCCTATAACCCTTCCCTGCTAAATAAAGTTAACCCCTTCCTCCCCATTGCCATTAGTACAGTGTCAGTTTTTTTTTTTTTGCACTGATCACTGTATTAGTGTTTTTGGGGATGTCAGTGACCCCAAGTCAGTACCCCCCAATGTCAAAATGTCCGCCGCAGTCCCGCAGTCCCGCCATAAGTCGCTGGTCGCTGCCATAAGTCACTGATTGCCGCCATAATTCACTGATCGCCGCCATTATTAGTATAAAAAAAAACCTAAAAATCCAAGTTTCTTTCCCGCCATTTGTAAACGCTATAACTTTCACGTAAACCAATTAATTTAAACGTATTGGGTTTTTTTTTTAGCAAAGACATGTCGCAGAATGCATTTTGGCAGAAATTTATGACTAAATTTGATTTTTGCATTTTTTTTTTTACTGGACATGTTTTATAGCAAAAAGTCCAAAATAGTTTTTTTTTCCTCAAAATTGTCAGCCTTTTTTTTTTATAGCGCAGAAAATAAAAACTGCACAGGCGATCAAATACCACCGAAAGAAAGCTCAATTTGTGGGGAAAAAAGGATGTAAATTTAATTTATGTACCGTATTGCATGACTGCGCAATTGTCAGTTAAACTAGCGCAGCGCTGTATAGCAGAAAAATGGCGTAAATTGCAGTATCTATCCCATAGTTTGTAGACGCTATATAACTGTCACACAAAGCAATCAATATACACTTATTGGGATTTTTTTTACCAAAAACATGGAGCAGAATACATTTTGGCCTAAATTTATAACCAACTTTGAGTTTACTATATATTTGTTATAGCTGAAAGTAAAAAATATTGTTTTTCTTCAAACTTTTTGGCCTTTTTTTGTTTATAGCGTGAAAAATAAAAAGCGCACAGGTGATCAAATTACACCGAAAGAAAGCTCTATTTGTGTGAAAAAAAAGAACGTAAATTTTGTTTGGGTGCAGCATTGCATGACCGCGCAATTATCAGTTGAATTAGTGCAGCGCCGAGTAGCAAAAAGAGGCTGGTCATTAAGGGGGGTAAATCCTCAGGAGCTCAAGTGGTTAAAGTTTATAATTTTTAACTTATATTATATATCCTTAAATGATCATTTGTATTATTTGAGCTTGAGCTATTAAACCCTGCACAGGCATTTAAAATTTAAAAATTACATTTTAAAAGTTAAAATTACCCTGAATTATAGCCTAATGTTCCACTTTCTGGCTGGAAATGGGTTAATAATAAATTATCAATATGCAATAGTTTATGCTTAATTGACAAACAGTTTTTTTGAGCCCTGAAAATAACAACAAAAATACAAAAGAATCAGATAAGTCAATTAAAATTAACACAATAATGAGAGAGCAAGAGATAGAGAAAAAAAAAACCTATGTCAATTAACATATACGTAAAAGACAAATCATTCAGGTCTGGCTAACAGATAAACTGTGTAGCTAGGGATTAAGGCATTATCCTACCCAAATCTCTACAATGTCTCCAGGACCCAGAACATATTGAAATATGAGATATAAGGTATGAGAAAAACAAAACGTATGTTTCCTCTATAGTATAAACAAAGCCCTCTTCATTTAGGCGAGAAACTTAGGTGACACGTACAACCCATCCACATCACTTACAGTTAGTGCCTCGCATTTTGTAATGATTAGTAAAACAGCACACAAAAACATACCATACATTTTAAGGAAATGGCAATTTAAAGTAATATTATTTTAGTTCATGTTTTAAAGTTTTTATGTTTAGCGAATCGAAGTAGCCGAAGTGGAATTCGAGTCGAATATCGGAAAAATTTCGATTCGCGCCGAATCCGAAAAATAGCCTAATTCGGACGCGCGAATCGAAATTTTTCCGAAAATGGCGGCTGACATGTGCGGCGACGGAGCGGGGATGTCTGGGAAGGCGCGCAGACAAGGCGCGCTGACCCATAATGCATTCCTCAACGACATGTGATCGCATCAGCCAATCAGCAGCCAGCCAGCTAGCACTGTGTAATGGTCGAGCTATAAATAGCGGCCATTTTGGAATTCTTCATTTGCCTGCAGTCATTGAACAGAGGCAGACCGCTCTGTATTAGGGACAGGGACAGAGTTAGGGCCACAGAAACGATACTTGGGGACAGAGAAACGATACTTAGGGACAGAGAACTATTACTCAGGGACACAGAATTGTTAATTAGGGCCACAGAATCGTTACTTAGGGACAAAGAAACGCTAGTTAGGGCCACAGAATTCATACTCAGGGACAGACAGAATTGTTACTGAGTGCCAGAGAATTGTTACTTAGGGCCACAGAAACGTATTAGGGCCACAGAATTGTTACTCAGGGACAGACAGAATTGTTACTGAGTGCCAGAGAATTGTTACTTAGGGCCACAGAAACGTTATTAGGGCCACAGAATTGTTACTCAGGGACAGACAGAATTGTTACTGAGTGCCAGAGAATTGTTACTTAGGGCCACAGAAACATTATTAGGGCCACAGAATTGTTACTCAGGGACAGACAGAATTGTTACTGAGTGCCAGAGAATTGTTACTTAGGGCCACAGAAACTTTAGTTAGGGCCACAGAATTGTTACTCTCAGGGACAGACACAGAATTGTTACTGAGGGCCACAGAACTGTTACTTAGGGCCACAGAATTGTTACTTACTCGCACAGACACAGAATTGTTACTCGCACAGACACAGAATTGTTACTGAGGGCCACAGAACTGTTACTTAGGGCCACAGAATTGTTACTCGCACAGACACAGAATTGTTACAGGGACACAGAATTGTTACTGAGGGCCACAGAACTGTTACTTAGGGCCACAGAATTGTTACTTAGGCACAGACAGAATTGTTACTCGCACAGACACAGAATTGTTACTCGAGGGCCACAGAATGTTACTTAGGCCACAGAACTGTTACTTAGGGCCACAGAATTGTTACTCGCACAGGGACACAGAATTGTTACTCGCACAGACACAGAATTGTTACTGAGGGCCACAGAAACTGTTACTCACTTGGGGCCACAGAAACGTTACTCAGGGACACAGAATTGTTACTACTGAGGGCCACAGAACTGTTACTTAGGGCCACAGAATTGTTACTTAGGGCCACAGAATTGTTACTACTCGCACAGACACAGAATTGTTACTGAGGGACACAGAACTGTTACTGAGGGCCACAGAACTGTTACTTAGGGCCACAGAATTGTTACTCGCACAGACACAGAATTGTTACTACTCGCACAGACACAGAATTGTTACTCGCAGGGACACAGAATTGTTACTCGCACAGACACAGAATTGTTACTCAGGGACACAGAATTGTTACTGAGGGCCACAGAACTGTTACTTAGGGCCACAGAATTGTTACTCGCACAGACACAGAATTGTTACTCGCACAGACACAGAATTGTTACTCAGGGACACAGAACTGTTACTTGGGGCCACAGAAACGTTACTTAGGGACACAGAATTGTTACTGAGGACCACAGAACTGTTACTTAGCAGGACACAGAATTGTTACTGAACTGTTACTGGGGCCACAGAACTGTTTAGGGCCACAGAATTGTGTTACTCGCACAGACACAGAATTGTTACTCGCACAGGGCACAGAATTGTTACTGAGGGCCACAGAACTGTTACTTGGGGCCACAGAAACACAGAATTGTTACTCGCAGGGACACAGAATTGTTACTGAGGGCCACAGAACTGTTACTTAGGGCCACAGAATTGTTACTACTCCTCAGGGACACAGAATTGTTACACAGGGACACAGAACTGTTACTGAGGGCCACAGAACTGTTACTTAGGGCCACAGAATTGTTACTCGCACAGACACAGAATTGTTACTCGCACAGACACAGAATTGTTACTGAGGGCCACAGAACTGTTACTTGGGGCACACAGAAACGTTACTCAGGACACAGAATTGTTACTGAGGGCCACAGAACTGTTACTTAGGGGCCACAGAATTGTTACTTACAGACACAGAATTGTTACTCGCACAGACACAGAATTGTTACTCAGGGCCACAGAACTGTTTACTGAGGGCCACAGAATTGTTAACAGGGACACAGAACTGTTACTGAGGGCCACAGAATGTTACTTAGGGCCACAGAATTGTTATCGCACAGACACAGAATTGTTACTCGCACAGACACAGAATTGTTACTGAGGGCCACAGAACTGTTACTTGGGCCACAGAAACGTACTCAGGGACACAGAATTGTTACTGAGGGCCAGAACTGTTACTTAGGGCCACAGAATTGTTACTTAGGGCCACAGACTTACAGACACAGAATTGTTACTCGCACAGACACAGAATTGTTACTGAGGGCCACAGAACTGTTACTTGGGGCCACAGAAACGTTAATCAGGACACAGAATTGTTACTGAGGGCCACAGAACTGTTACTTAGGGCCACAGAATTGTTACTCGCACAGACACAGAATTGTTACTCGCACAGACACAGAATTGTTACTGAGGGCCACAGAACTGTTA